CCCAAAACAGTGCTGAACTCTTTCTGGGAAGAGCAGGGGAGGTTTCTTTGGTAAGCTGTGTTACTGTTTACCAGTGGCTGCTTGTTTGTCCTCCCTGGAAGAAGAGTTTGAGTTGGAGTCATTCAAGTCAGGCTTGGCATGAGAACTGCTTTGCCGATAGAAATATGAGAAGTGATGTGGATCACATCTACGTAAGATTCGATGGGCAATTGGTGCTTTGCTGGATTGCTTTTCCACTGTCACTCACCAGCCCTATTCCGGGAAGTTTGTGCCGGCTTATCCTGATTCCCTAAGATGACATGGGCCGGGCACAGTGGCTCATGTCCTGACCTTGAGTGATCCACCCGCCTCGTCCTCCCAAAGTGCTGGGATTACTGGTGTGAGCCACCACGCCCAGTCCCTTCCTCCTTCTTGAGCCAACTTTTTCACTTGACCTCTCACTTTTCCTTAGCAACTCCTCAGTGTCTGTCTTAGTCTGTTCAGGCTTCTGTAACAAAATGCCATAAACAGGGTAGCTGATAAGCAACAGAAGTTTATTTCTCACTGGAGGCTGGATGTCCCAGATCAAGACACTGGAAGACTTGGTGTCTAGTTCCTCATAGACAGCGCCTTCTATTGTGAGGCAGGGTTCTGGAGCCTCTCTCTCTCTCTCATTTTGACAGAGATTCTGTCTGCCAAGCTGAAGTGCAGTGGCCTGATCACAGCTCACTGCAGCTTCGACCTTCTGAGCTCAAGCGATCCACCTGCCTCAGCCTCCCAAGTAGCTGGGACTACAGGTGCACGCCACCACACCTGGCTAATTGTTGTGTTGTGTTGTGTTGTATTGTATTGTATTGCATTTTTTGTATTGTATTGTATTTTTTGTAGAGACAAATGTCCCTATGCTGCCCAGGCTGGTCTCGAACTTTTGGCCTCAAGTGATCCTCCTACCTCAGCTTCCCAAAGTGCTGGGATTACAAACATGAGTCACTGCACCTGCCTCTGGAGCCTGTTTTTATTTATATTTTTTTGAGACAGAGTTTTGCTCTTGTCGCCCAGGCTGGAGTGCAATGGCACAATCTCGGCTCACCGCAACCCTTGCCTCCTGGGTTCAAGCAATTCTCCTGCTTCAGCCTCCCTAGCAGCTGGGACTACAGGCGTGTGCCACCATGCCCAGCTAATTTTTTTTTTTTTTTTTTTTTTTTTGTATTTTTAGTAGAGACAGGGTTTCACCATATTGACTAGGATGGTCTCGATCTCTTGACCTCATGATCTGCCTGCCTCGGCCTCCCAAAGTGCTGGGATTACAGGCGTGAGCCACCGCACCCAGCCTGGAGCCTGTTTTTATAAGGGCATTGATCCCATTCATAAGGGGTCCACCCTTGTGATCTAATCACCTCCCAAAGGCCCACCTCCTAATTCCATCACATTGGGGATTATGTTGTCAGCATATGAACTTGCAGGGACACAAGCATTCATTTCATAGCAATCTCCTTCCCTGGCAATTTCCCTTTCTTCCTTACCTTTCAGTGTTGAGAACTGAAACGCTCAGGGCTCAGTCCTTTCTGTTATTAACACTCATGCTGAAGGGGATCTCATCCAGTTCCATGCATTTAAATACATTCCTATCTTTAGGACTCATACACAATAGGCTAGATTTTTCTGCAAACTACCCTCAAATCTCAGTGATTTAGAACAACAAAGATGTTTCTCTTTCACTGTAAAATGTCCGTCATGAATCAGCAGGGGTATCTGTTCATCTTGGTCGCTCCGGGACATGGTGAATCATACTCTTAAAGCTTAAGGATCCTGCCTGAGATGAGACAGTCACTTCCAGCTTCATTTCATTGGCTATGGCAAGTCACATGCCTCTGCCTAACTTTAAGGGGGCAGACAGGATGGTCCTACCATAAGGGAAGGAGTGAACGGTGGCTCACGCCTGTAATCCCAGCACTTTGGGAACCCAAAGTGGGTGGATTGACTGAGGTCAGGAGTTTGAGACATGGCGAAACCCTGTCTCTACTAAAAATACAAAAATTGGCTGAGCGCGGTGGCTCATGCCTGTAATCCCAGCACTTTGGGAGGCGGAGGCGGTTGCATCACGAGGTCAAGAGATCGAGACCATCCTGTTCAACATGGTGAAACCCCGTCTCTACTAAAAATACAAAAATTCAGCTGGGCATGGTGGCGCGTGCCTGTAATCCCAGCTACTCAGGAGGCTGAGGCAGGAGAATTGCCTGAACCCAGGAGGAGGAGGTTGCGGTGAGCCAAGATCGCGCCATTGCACTCCAGCCTGGGTAACAAGAGTGAAACTCTGCCTCAAAAAAAAAAAAAATACAAAAATTAGCTGGGTGTGGTGACAGGCGCCTGTAATCCCAGGTGCTCGGGAGGCTGAGGCAGGACAGTCCCTTGAATCTGGGAGGCAGACGTTGCAGTGAGCTGAGATGGCACCACTGCACTCCAGCCTGGACAACAAGAGCAAGACTCTGCCTCAAAAGAAAAAGAAAAAAAAAAAGAAGCAAAATTGGTGAATAGCTCTAACGATGACAAGTCTCACAGTTTTGTCTCAGACCTTGACATCTCTCTAAACTCTAGACCAGTGGATCAAGCTGCTGGCTTGGCATCTTCTCTTACTTAATAGGCATTGCAAACTTAGTATATTCAACCCAGGTTGCTGCTTTCTCTGCCGTTCTCTCTGCATGTCGCCGGCTCTGCCATGTCTCCCTGATCATCACCTTGGTAAATAGCAACTCCATTCTCCCTGCCACTCAGGCCAAAACCCTGGAGTTGTTTTCAATCTTTCCTGTTTCTCATGCCCCACACTTGATCTGCCTGCAAATCTTGCTGGCTCTTTCATTAAAATATATACAGAATATGACCTCTTCTCATTTCTTAGTTATGACCATTCTAGTCCAAACCCCCGTCACGTTTTGTGGGGACGACCGCATTCGCTTACTAACTGGTTTCCCACTTCCCTGCCTCCTCCTCTATAGTCTACCATTCACATGACAGATATGGACATTTGAAACATTGTCATATCATGATCCTCCTAGGCTCAGGACCTGGCAAAGGCTCCCTCTCTCATCTGCAGTAAAAACCAAGTCCTCACCATGGTCCACAAGGCTCTGTAGTGTTCTGGCTGCTCCCCGCCGCCTCCCTGACCTCGCCTCCTACCACTCTGCCACTTAGCTTCTCCACGCTAGCTGCACTTTCTTCCTCTTTTTTTTTTTTTTTTCCCGAGACGGAGTCTTGCTCTGTCGCCCAAGTTGAAGTTCAATGGAGGCTCACTGCAACCTCTGCCTCCTGGGCTCAGGCAATTCTCCTGCCTCAGCCTCCCGAGTAGCTGGGACTACAGGCGCATGCCACCATGCCTGGCTAATTTTTTGTATTTTTAGTAGAGATGGGGTTTCACCCTGTTAGTCAGAACGGTCTCGATCTCCTGACCTCATGATTCACTGGTCTCAGCCTCCCAAAGTGCTGGGATTACAGGTGTCAGCCACCGCACCCAGCCCACTTTCTTCCTTATACTTCCTTGAACACATCAAGCACACTCCTGCCTCAGGACCTTTGCACATGCAATTTCCTGTGCCTGGAATGGAATTCCCTCAAATGTCCACGTGGCTTCTTCCCTTACCTTTTCTTGTTCCCTGTTTAAATGTCATCTTGTCAAAGAAACTGAAAAAGGGTAGGAACCCCTTCTTATGTCTATCACCCTGTGTCGCCTTTCCTACTTTTTTCTTTGCTATTACTTTTTAACCGACGTGAAAAGTATATTTATACTTATTTATTTTTAGTCTCCCCAGCTCCCAGTATGTAAGGTCCATGAGTTCCAAAACTGTATGTTTTTCTGTTGTTAGGTTTGCAATGCCTAGCACTTATTAAACCCTCAATAAATAAGTTGTATAATAAATAATTAAGAAAAAAATACCCACTCTTGGTAGGGTACAGTGGCTCATGCCTGTAATCCCAGCACTTTGGAAGCCTGAGGCGTGTGGATCGCCTGAGGTCAGGAGTTCAAGACCAGCCTGGCCAACATGGTGAAACACCGTCCATACTAAAAATACAAAAATTAGCTGGGTATTGTGGTGGGTGCCTGTAATCCCAGCTACTCAGGAGGCTGAGGGAGGAGAATTGCCTGAACCCAGGAGGCAGAGGTTGCAGTGAGCCGAGATCTCACCACTGCACTCCAGCCTGGGCGACAAGAGCAAAACTCCATCTCAAAAAAAAAAAAAACAACAACAAAAACCTACTCTTTATTGAATGCTTATTACTTGCTTTGCTCTATGCTTTACATTGTCATACTTTATGAGACATTTCCGCATTATAGAGAAGGAATAGAGACTCAGAGAGGGTGTGTAACTTGCCTGAGGTCACACAGCTGGCAAGTGGTAGAGCCTAGGCCCAGTCCCAGGTCAGTCTGCCTCCCTGTCCATGCTTCTAGCCATCACATGCTAACAAATTTGTCCTACCAGGATTCTGGCAAACTACCGAGTGAGCAATCTATTAATGCACTCTTAAATTAGAACCTAAAAGTAAGGGAAGATTAATAATTAACTGTTGCCATAAAGAAGAATTGGGTGGACCTAGAAGGTTGTGAGCTTTAAACGGAATGGAAAATATATTTGGGGACTCAGGTGATTTTCAGTCTTTCATATTGGATCTAAAACCACCCAGATAAACATTTCTATACTTAGTGACCTGATAACAAGCCCAGTGTGCCAAAATAACCCAGTGCTCTTGATGAGTCTTAAAGACAAAGAAGCAAACCTCAGGTCAAAGTGTGTTTTTGACCAGACTTTGACCGTCCTGAACCAGGGTGGCCGAAGAGGGCATTCGTATGTTGAATGCATCTTCTAAAATTGCTTCTGATCTCAGCTATCGGGTGATGTAACTGGAAAGTTCAGGGAGTGCTGCGTCACGCTGAGCGTGTTCTGTTTCCCTGGAACGAGGGCATCATTGGCTCTGTCTTTCCCAACAGCAACATGTCTTATTAATAGGGTTCATTCTCCATAGGGCCATAGATTATTGATGGAGCTCACTGTTAGGCAAGGCCTCCTGTCACCCTAGACCAACACAATACAGCTCTTCAGCCTCACTGCAGCGGGCACAGACGTCTCCGTAAAGCAGCCCACGTGCGTGCCCGCCCAAGGCAATGTGAGGGTGGCTGTCATTCAAGCTGCTGCTCAAAGGCAGAGCGCCTTTTCTCAGACTGAGTGAATAGCAGAGGTATCAGGTGAGCTTGAAAAGGGAGGGGAGGGACACTGGCAATTATCATAGTTGTTCTAGACAGACATCATTGCTGGAGGTCCCTCAGGTTGGCCGGGAAGCTCTCGCTGGACCCCAAATCCTGATTGTAACGTGGTTGTATTGAAATACCTTCTCTTCAAGCTCTTTCTCATGTCTTTCTTCATTTAGGCACTTTATTACATGCAAAAGTGCACTGAAATGCACGAAGTGCCAGGTCTACTGTCAGATAAAGTAGGTTACCAAAGGAATGCTTGGTAATTGTTCTTCCTATCTTCTTTCCATACATACTTTAAAGGCTCCTCTGATAGGAGTGTAGTAGAAGGGACTTGAACTAAAATTGTGGTGTTATTATCATTGAAGGAAGAGACTCCTGTGGTTACCTAGCCCAAACTCTTTGAAGTAGCTTAAGACATGGAAATAGCCTTGCCCCAGCACATAATGGTGATTAGTGGTGGGGCGTGGATTGAACTTGGAGCCTCTAGCTTCCGAGCCCTGTGCTCTTCTCATCATACAGCCTGCTGGTTTCCTCTGAGCCTGGGCTCCTACCCTGTATTGTCAGGATTTCCTCTCTGCGCTCCTTAGATCTGGCTATTTTTTGGCCAGGCGCAGCGGTTCAAGCCTGTAATCCCAACACTTTGGGAGGCCAAGGTGGGCGGAACACAAGGTCAAGAGATCGAGACCATCCTGGCCAACATGATGAAACCCTGTCTCTACTAAAAATAAAAAATAAAAAAAAAATTAGCTGTGCATGGTGGTGGGTGCCCGTAGTCCCAGCTACTCGGGAGGCTGAGGCTACAGAATTCCTTGAACTTGAGAGGTGGAGGTTGCAGTGAGCTGAGATCATGCCACTGCACTCCAGCCTGGCAACAGAGCAAGACTCCATCCAAAAAAAAAAAAAAAAAAAAAAAAAAAAAAAACTATCTATATTTCCTCTGGTGTATATCACAACTCTAGGAATTTGGACTCCCAGCCTAGTATCTGGCAAGTTGGTTAACAAGTTTAGAAAAAGCATCAGTTTCTTAAACAGTTGGGTGATGAGTTACATCTAATAACTATTTAACATATCCTACTAACATTTGCATTCGTTTTATTATTAAGACTAATCAGCAATATGTCTGATACTAAGAAGAACCTCCCACGCAGATACATCCAGGGGCTCCGTCACTTATAACACACCAATCCCTATTATCCACTAATAAGCAACAGCCACAGAAAGAGGAAGAGAACTTATATTTTACTAATTAGACATCGGGATGAAGAAAACATTAAAGATAAATGACTGTATATTGGGGGAAGAAACTTAGTTAATACGGCAATTTTAAGATGACATCAAATGCCTCTTATTCTCCTTACCAAAAGGTAGGGTCAAAGTCGCTGCCATTGAGTTTGGGTTGGGATAGGATGTGGCAGACGTGATGCTACATAACTTCTCAGGCCCGCCCAGGAGACCATGTGCAGCCTCCACCTTGCTGGTGGGAAACATTTGCTTTTGGAGTTCTGGGCTGTCCTGTGAGGAGTCGTCTGACAGCCCTGGAATGATCATGCTGAGACCCTATCGTGGACGTGATTTTCCAGCCCAAGCTGTTTCAGGCCACCCGGCATTTGAGTTCTCTCAGCCATTCTAATCATCCCACTGATGGCAGAATAGACACTAAAGAGCAGAGAACCCCACTATGCCCTTTCTGAATTTCTGATCCACAGGCAGCAAGCACAAGAAAATTGCTATTTCTGGCCAGGCACAGTGGCTCATGCCTGTAATCCCAGCACTTTTGGAGGCCGAGGCAGATGGATCACCTGAGGTCAGGAGTTCGAGACCAGCCTGGCCAACATGGTCTTGACTAAAAATACAAAAATATTAGCTGGGTCTGGTGGTGCACGCCTATATTCCCAGCTACTGGGGAGGCTGAGTCATGAGAATCCCTTGAACCTGGGAGGCGGAGGTTGTAGTGAGCTGAGATTGCGCCATTGTACTCCAGCCTGGGTGACAGAATGAGACATTCGTCTCAAAAAAAGAAAAAAAAAATGCTCTTTCTATTTTTTTAGATTTTTTGAGATGGAGTCTCTCTGTTCCTCAGGTTGGAGTGCAGTGGAGCAGTCTTGGCTCACTGCAGCCTCAGCCTCCCGGGTTCAAGTGATTCTCCTGCCTTAGCCTCCTAAGTAGTTGGAATTACAGGTGTGTGCCACCACACCCAGCTAATTTTTGTATTTTCAGTAGAGACGGGATTTCACCATGTTAGCCAGGCTGATCTCAAACTCCTGACCTCAAGTGATCCACCTACCTCGGCCTCCCAAAGTGTGGGGATTACAGGTGCGAACCACTGTGCCTAGTCTGTTTTTATTTTTACACTACCAAGTTTGGGGGTGGTTTATGATACCTCAGTAAGTAACTGGGACAGTTATATAGTTCAGCGCTTCTCTTTGTTTAAATTTGTGATTCTTTATGCCACGTTGCATACAATTTTTGTCACCCTTAGCAAATAACTTGCCTCACTCTCTGATGCACTCACATGTTTCTGTAGCCTTTCTACAGCTTTTTTTTTGAGATGGCGTTTCTCTCTTGTTGCCCAGGCTGGAGTGCAATGGCATGATCTTGGCTCACAGCCACCTCCGCCTCCCGGGTTCAAGCGATTCTCCTGCCTCAGCCTCCCGAGCAGCTGGGACTGCAGGCACATGTCACCACGCCCGGCTAATATTTTGTATTTTTAGTAGAGACAAGGTTTCACCGTGTAGCCAGGATGGTCTCAATCTCCTGACCTCTGCCTCTCAAAGTGCTGGGATCACAGGTGTGAGCCACCACGCCCAACTGCCTTTCTATAGCTTTTATGCTTAGCTCCATATCCGTGTTAACTAACGTCTCTTCTGTGTCTGAAAAAAGAAAATCTATAAACATATACTAGGTGTATCTCACTCAACTTGAGATCATGAAAATGATTAAAATTGTACCATTACCTTTGCAAATAATTCCTCTGGGATGATTATAAGAAAGATAGGTGATCTGTAAAATAGTGAAAATTGACTGGGCACGGTAGCGTAAGCCTGTAATCCCAGCACTTTGGGAGGCCAAGGAGGGTGGATCATGAGGTCAAGAAATCAAGGCCATCCTGGCCAACATGGTAAAACCCTGACTTTACTAAAAACACAAAAATTAGCTACGCATGGTGGCGTGTGCCTGTAGTCCCAGCTACTCAGGAGGCTGAGGCAGGAGGTTGCAGTGAGGTGGAGGGGGGAGGCGGAGGTTGCAGTGAGCCGAGATTGCGCCACTGCACTCCAGCCTGGTGACAGAGTAAGACCACCTCAAAAAAAAGGGGGGGAAATTTTTATTTTAAGAAACCAGCTTCCACCATTTTAGTTACTCCTACTTTGTTCTAGCAGAGATTTGAAAGTCAGTTATTCAAAGACCTAGTAAAAATTAAGAATGACAAGGACATGTTAGAAGTCACAGATTGGCTATTCCACAGAAGCAAAATCCCGGCAACAGGTAGTGTGCTTTACATAGAGGAAATGCCCAGCAGTGCCCAGTACACGTGAGATTTTGGTATTGACATCTTTGTATTAGAACCGGAAGGTAGAACACTATTATGACAAAAAGACAAAGCATGATTCTAGAAATGAAAAATTATAGCAATTTTCATTTTAAAATCTGTAGACTCTACTCACCATAACATTTGTCTGCCCCCGTATCATTTGTCTGGGCTATGACGGTCTGAGCGAACTCAGTTAGATTGCAAACTTCTGGAGTCATAGGATCTCAAGATGACACTAGCTTATCTTTTACAGTTATAGAACCTCTAGTCTTCTAATACAAACTATTTTTATCAGGCTCTGAACTGTTACCTAATTAGCAATGCTAAGATTGAGTTTTCTCATGGCAACTTGGAGACGCATATGGTGGGTATCAGTTCAGCTGCTCCTTATAATCAATGCAGATTTCTTCAGGATTTTGCTTGAGACGATGCTCCAATGAGTAAATCCAGCTTAGATAGACCTTAGCTGCTGATTTTCCCTTTACCCCAAGGACCTGGACTTCGTTAAATATATAGAAAGCTTTGGCTGGGCATGGTGGCTCATACCTGTAATCCCAGCACTTTGGCAGGCTGAGGCGGGCAGATTGCCTGAGGTTGGGAGTTCGAGACCAGCCTGGCTAGCATAAGGAAACCCCCATCTCTACTAAAATTACAAAAAAATTACTCAGGCGTGGTGGTGCACACCTGTAGTCCCAGCTACTCAGGAGGCTGAGGCAGGACTGTCGCTTGAACCCGGGAGGTGGAGGTTGCAGTGAGCCAGGATCGTGCCACTGCACTCCAGCCTGGGCAACAGAGGAAGGCTCCGTCTGAAAAAAAAAGCACTCAACTTACTTCATAGATGATGGCTATGTATTTCTGTACAATTAAGAGATTTACCTTTAACATTAGTTGATATCATCCTTTGGGAGAATAATTTGTCTTAGTGGCATGCTGGCAACACAAAGATATTTCAACAAACCTATTCAAACATCCTGGGTTAATATGGAAAGGGCAAGACGGGTCAACCCCAAAGGGAGCAAGGATATTACCCAGGACACTTGTGTTTTTTGAGGATTTTCTTGAATGAGCATGAAGGAGTGACAATTGCCAAGCCAAAGTCGCTTAGCTCTGCCTGGCAGTGTGCCATTCCAAGTCACCCCTCCCTGCTTTGCAGAGATCCTCAACATTTATTCCTTAGTTATAAAAATCCCCAAATTCTCATATACTGTATCTCTTAATCACTCAGAACTCATCACATTAAGAAAATCTGTTAACGCCACAAAATCACCAAAATTCTCTTGTAAGAATTACCCTGAGCAATGACAATAACATGGAATACAGAAGCTTGGAATCAACTAGAGGTATTGGCAGTAGCCAAGTGAAGCTAAATAGTTTCCAATAAAATGAAAATTTTCTCCAGGTTCCCGCATTTACATATCTGTGCACAGTGGGGATGCTGGTTACCACTGTATCCAACTGAGAGCGTTACAGAAACTCAGTGAGGCTGCAGCCACAGAGAATCTGTATTTTTAAGGAGAAAAATCTCTTATTTTAGACATTAAATGCCCTGTGGTTCTTGCTTGCATTTCTTTGCACAGGCCTCAGGGGTGTCTCATGCTTGCATGAGGTTGATTCATGCACAGGTTGTAAGAACACTGGGATGAAATTTTTTTCTTGCCGGAACTTCAGGGCTCATTTTGAAAATGCATTGTTATAATGGTTATGTTTCTTCCCCACATCGTCTTGCTGAAATGTCTCATTCTAAGAGAACTGAGAGACCACCACTGTGCGAAAGGTGGCAGCTGGGAAAGATGTTTTTTAAAAACATACAGATAAAGAAAGCAAGCGTTGAGAGGTAAGAAAGACAGCTGGGAGATTTAAGGGACATGGCCTCTAGCAGCTGAAAGAGACACACTGGTCTAGAGAGAGACTATGGGTGAGATAAGAGGCTTTGTGCACGCTGAAGAACTATGCCAAAGATGATAAGAAATGCAGCTGTTATGAAAGTGTGAATGATCAAGATTCTCCGTATGCTCAGGACATAGACGTTCAACATGTGCACTTAAAGGACAAGCACAGAAACTCCTTTTTTGAGATGGAGTCTTGCTCTTTCACCAGGCTGGAGTGCAGTGGCACGATCTCAGCTCACTGCAACCTCCGTCTCCCGGATTCAAGGGATCCCACTGCCTGAGCCTCCTGAGTGGCTGGGACTACAGGCATGCACCACCACACCCAGCTAATTTTTGTATTTTTATTTATTTTGAGATGGCGCTTTGCTCTTGTTACCCAGGCTGGAGTGCAATGGCACAATCTCAGCTCACTACAACCTCCATCTCCTGGGTTCAGGCAATTCTCCTGCCTCAGCCTCCCAAGTAGCTGGGACTACAGGCGTGCACCACCATGCCCAGCTAATTTTTGTGTTTTTAGTAGAGATGGGGTTTCACTATATTGACCAGGATGGTCTCGATCTCTTGACCTTGTGATCCGCCTGTCTCGGCCTCCCAAAGTGCTGGGATTACAGACTTGAGCCACCGCACCCAGCCTGTATTTTTAGTAGAGACGGGGTTTCACCATGTTGACCAGGATGGTCTCCATCTCTTGATCTCATGATCCACCCACCTCGGCCTCCCAAAGTGCTGGGATTACAGGCGTGAGCCACCGCGCCCGGCTGCTCTCCCTTTTTAGATGAGTTTCTTCCACATACTTTTCACACTCCTTTTTCCTCAGATTTCAAAATGAATATAAGTGAATGCAGAATAAAAAATGCCTGACCTAAGACTCTCCACGCAGCAGCCACTGTGTCTCTTTTGCCTCACCTTGAGGCATCTGCAGGACAGGCGGCTGAGACGGGAGCATTTGAAAAGTAAATAAGTTCATACCTGGTTGGGACTGTCAGATAACCATCATTTAAAAATAGAGCTAAAAGGTAATTTTCTACTTGGCAAAGTATGTTTTTGCATTTAGAACTCATTTTGGAAGCCAGTTTGATATTGGCCCTTTTAAGAACACATTATCTGAGGTATTAAATGAAAAAAAGTAACGATTTGTCCTCCATCCATGTTATAATGTAATTGGAATCACCTCTAATAGTGGCAGAATGGAAAACAATGTGTACCCTCCAACTCACTTAAAAATATATTAATAGCTTAGTGGTAGCCTCTTGGATATAAAAAAGGAATGGTATTTGTTTTCCAAGGAACAAATGACAGGAGAGACAGGGACTTTAGAGACTTTCTCTCTGAAGAATGTGGTCAAGAAGGACCAAATACTGTCTAATAAGACAAAATTATATCAAAGCTATAAATCGGTATCATTTTTCTTATCTACAGATTCTAAAGGGTTTATGTATTCATTGTCTCATTTCTTACTTAGATTTACAATGGAGACTTCAAAGCTTGAAATGTAAATGATTTAGCTAAAATCATGATTGAACTTCTAAAATTCAACTCTGAACAAATACTCAAAATGAAATGTACCAAGTGCTTAAGCAAAACAAAGTTAGAATTTCCATGGAAACAGCCTGGAACTCTGGAAGCAGAAGAGAGGACAAAGGCATGCAAACACATTTATTTATTTTTTAGTTCCTCTTCACCTCTGCCCCTCCAAACCTCAAGCTGTCATCTTAATGAAGGCTTTCAAGCCTCAGAGGGAATTAAGAAGAACAATATTTGACAGGAGTGAGAAAAGAACTAAATATAGTTCCCTTGTGAGAGAAATGTATTCCATAATCTCATCCATTCGCCTTCCCTTATCTGGGTAATCTCTCCATCTTTCGACGTTATTTTTGTGCTGCTTTTATTGCAAAGCCAGTTGAGCTGTTCCTTGGTAGGGAACAGAATAGAGAGAACATGAGATACGATTCTGTCCTCTTTTGCAAGGGTTATTTTATGAGACAATTGAGTTCAGTTACCAAGTTAATATTGTACATATTTCCTCAGTAATTTCCTTGCTTAATGCTTTCGAATTTCTAAAATGCTCTCGTCTCCCTTAATTTATTCAATGAATACAACCTGAGAAGTAGATGGAGCAACTCTGCTGGCTACTATCAACCCACATTTGATCCGTTTGGAAGGGTTTAAGATCACCCTGCTGATAAGTAATGAAGCCAGGACTCACCCAGCACTTTGGATCTCAGCCCCATTGCTTTCTCTAGCTCTACAATAGTGTGCCTGACCAACCATTATGTCATGGGTATTCTCTCCTTCTTCTTAGGTATTAAAAACTTCTATTTATTTCTTTTTAGAAATGTATTACTGGCCGCGCATGGTGGCTCCAGCCCATATTCCCAGTACTTTGGAAGGCTACAGTGGGAGGATCGCTTGAGTTCAGGTGAGACCAGCCCGGAGAGTATCGTGAGAATCCATCTCTGCTAAATAAAAAAAATGAGGCTGGGCATGGTGGCTCACGCCTGTAATCCCAGCACTTTGGGAGGCCGAGGCAGGCGGATTGCCTGAAGTCAGGAGTTCGAGACATTCTGGCCAACATGGTGAAACTCTGCCTCTACTAAAAATACAGAAAAATTAGTGGGGCATGGTGGCATGTGCCTGTAATTCCAGCTGCTTAGGAGGCTGAGGCAGGGGAATTGCTTGAAGCAGGGAGGTGGCGGTTGCAGTGAGCTGAGATCACACCACTGCACTTCAGCCTGGGCGACAGAGAGAGACTCTACCTCAAAAAAAAAAAAAAAGAAAAAAAAAGAGCTGGGCATGTGGATGCACACCTGTACTCCCAGCTACTTAGGAGGCTGAGGTAGGAGGATCCCTTGAGCCTGAGAGGTTGAGGCTGCAGAGAGCCATGATCGTGACACCACACTCCAGCCTGGGCAACAAAGCAAGACCATCTCAAAAAAAAAAAAAAAAAAAACAAAAAGAAACGTATGCTTTAGCATTATAAGGTAAAAATCTTGCTCTCTGTAACTGCTAATATTGCTACTGCTGCTGACCAGGAAGAAAGGCACAGCCTGGGTAGGTGAACTTTCGGCTTTCCTGAGTCTGCCTATTTTTGACAAGATTTTCCCAGAACTGCCTGACCTATTTTTGATCAATAAATCAAAACTGCTTAAAGTTCAGCAATAAACAGCTCATTGAGGACAAAAGTGACCCTCCATAAATCTGAAAAATTAAAGCACATCTTTTGGAATGAAATAACCACTGATGCATTGACTGAATTAAGTAGCCTAGAATTATTTTGGTGGTCCTAGATAATACGTCGGGGTACAGTAATCTCTCTCCCTGGAGACAGGCCGGTAACTATTTTTCCTTGGAAAATTAAAGTTTAAGGTTGTTGATAGCTCTAAATAGGGTAACAGTTATAAAGTGGAAACTATGATATGGTATCTGATGTCATCACTTTCGGTTGCTTATAATTATTGAAAACTAATGGAGTTCAAGAAAAGCTGCCATGGATTTGGGAAGTATGAGGACAGAGAAATCAATAAACAGTCCATTCCAGGCCAGGCACAGTGGCTCACACCTGTAATCCCAGCACTTTGGGAGGCTGAGGAGGGCAGATCACCTGAGGTCAGGAGTTCGAGACCAGCCTGGCCAACATGGTGAAACTCTGTCTCTACTAAAAATACAAAAATCAGCCGGGCTTAGTGGTAGGTGCCTGTAATCCCAGCTACTCAAGGGGCTGAGGCATGAGAATCACTTCAACCCGGGAGGTGGAGGCTGCAGTGAGCTGAGATTGCGCCACTGCACTCCAGCTAGGGTGACAGAGTGAGACTCCATCTCAAAAACGAACAAACAAAAAACCCAGCCCCAATCCATTCCATAATTAGCATAACATACACTTCTAGAGAGTCAATATGACACTCATTTGATGTTCTAACACATACCTTATTAGATACTACCACATCATTGTGGAAATAAATTAAAGCATCCCAACAGGTGACTTCCTCTGGCTAGCTACCACTATCGGGCCTTCCAACAATTGCTACTACATTTTGACTTACTGTGTATCTGGCTCTGTGGCAGGTAGTTGGTATGCTTTTTAAATTTAATATTTAAATAACCATGCAAGACACATATTATTGTCACAATATTATAGATGAGAAATGCATTAAACAAGCGAATGCATTAAAAAAGAGTAATTGGCTTCACTCACATTGCTGAAAAGTGGGAGTCCTGCTCACACCTCAGTGTACCTGCCCCCAGCACCACTGGGCTGGTCCCCCTTCTGAGCGACTAGTCCTCTCTACAGCCCACTCCTTCCAAGCCATCTTTCATCTAAGCAATTTCCAGTGATAACGGCATCCTTCAGGGCTCCTCTGTGGGATGGGGAATGACCTATATCATTTGCTAAGTATAAGGTAGATATTGAGTCAGTGAAACTTACTTTAAAGGCACAAAACCAGGACATCCGGGAGAGTTATTATGCTCACTGAAAATGTTACACGTCAATCACGGCTATCGATTTAAGTTCAAGAGAGAAATCATTCACCTTTACTACAGAATTAGAAACAGCCAATGCAACAGAAGTTTTTAAAAATTATATTTAATACAAGTGAATAGATTAGAAGATCTGAAAGTTATAAAGCAATATACACAATGAATAAATAATTTGCACAGGAGAGTCATGTCTACATTACATAACACTGTCTAGTATGGGAATACTTAAAAGTAAATCCAGTGATAATGGAGAAAGTCCATAAAAATGCTAACCTGTCTTCCCTTGTATGAAATTGTTCAAGTATAAAAATCCAATACAGTGTAAAATAGTATTCAATTTAGTTTAAGAATAAAAATTGCAAGTATTGCAGTTTCAGAAGAAAAATGTAAAGCAGCATTTAAAAACTACGTAAGACTAGTGTTAAACTAACGAATTACCAATAAATGAAACTACACGGGCAAAATCAGAGGAAGCATGAAACTAGCAATATATCTTGTTTAAAAAAAATCTAAAAACTAAAATAAACTAAAATGTGTTAATGTAAGAGTACTCTCTTATACAGTGCACATATGAATTTAAATAAATCCAAGTCAACTTCTTGAGTAGGTTAATATTTAATACGCTACATCTAGACCTACTAAATAATTTATGCCATGAGATGAATACATAATTTTACAGTGTCACATCTAAAGTTCCTTTCTTTAGAGTGCAGCATAGTAAAACTTAAAAATAAATATCTTAAATAGCATTACTATTAAGGCACAGTATAAACCACATTATCGTTAACCTTTGAAGAATTGTAATCTCAGTAACCTCGCTGTCTCATGTACTGTAGTCACTAATAAATAGTTTTAAATATGACTCTGAAATAGATACTAAAAAGTGTAAAATTACTTAAAAAGGGAAAAAAAATAAATGTCCTTAAGACAGTTCTGCAAACTTTGCCTGCCTTTATTCATAAGCCACGAGTCGACACAATAAACAGAAAGAGAAGGTTGCTGTAGTAAAAGCCTGATCCTATTTCAGAATCAGAATTGCTGACACCAGCAGATACAAGTTTCCCAAAATTGAAACAGGATGGGGAGAGGGATTAGAATGTGACAAGCTCATCAAACAAGCACAAGTGATGTGTTCTTTCCAGAACTGTGTGTGTTATTGATTGTCTGTACAGCTGTTGCACCCATTAATTCCACATCACTTGTTCCACAGTTCCACTCATCCACAGGACAGATGAGAAAATAGCTTTGGTGCCTGTCCACCATTTTACCCACTGCCACGCTCCTAGATTGATTGTTCGATGCCCATTTTTGAGATAGTAAGAACATGACCTTCTGACTTGAAAAAAGTTCTATAGGCCTTAAGTGACTGCTAAAAATGACAATCAGTGCTTTCGCCATTTTGTTTGTAAAAAGTCTGCTTTTAAGTGTAATTCAAGCTACATATTGCTCGCTCTGTATTCCCTGGTTCAACTAGATTCAAACAGCATTTTCTAACTTGTAAAAGGCAGTTTTGCTTCCCTGATACTATAAAAAGAGCAAAAATAAAAATCCCATTACAAAAGTGAAGTTCCGTTGTTACTCCTGGCGTCATTTCATAGTGGCCTTTCATTTATTCAGGCTCTTTGGGATTGACTTCCAAAATTGTGCCCATTCCCCTCATTCTTACCTCCTTCTCATCTAGAACACTACCCGGAGTACAAAAAAAATAATAACTCTGCTTCACGATAGCATCGCTGCTTTTTTTTTTTTTTTTTTTTTTTTTAAAGCTGTTAAGTCAATGTTAACTCTCTTATTAGCTACTAAAAATTGGAAAATTGGGAGGGAAAGAGAAAACAATTCAACTTTGATCAGATGGCTGGTCTATTGCATTCGGTCTGTTTGCAGCTGCTGAGGCTGGTACTGGCCAAATGCTGCAGCAGCAGCAGCTGCCGCTGCCGCTGCAGCAGCTGTCCCAGGTGCCGCTGCGGTGATCGGCTGTTGGACTGCGTAGCCATAGCCCCCAGCGGTGACATATCCTGCAGCAGCTGGAGAGGCTGCATAGGGGTACTGGTCATAGGCAGCAGCGGCGGCAGCAGCAGCGGCAGCTGCTGAGTATTGTGCGTATGCAGCTCCAGTGTAATCAATGTAAGGGGTGGTGGAGGCGGCAGCTGCTGTCGGCTGGACATGTGGAATGACCACTCCAGGCTGCACAAAAGCCTGCGGATAGACATAGTGGGCAGGTATCCTGTTGAGAAACGGAAAACGAAGTCAGGCGGTAGTCACCTCCTAGCAGCAGCATTTGTTGTTCAAAGGTAAGACAAACTCAAATTTAGTGGTTATTATGAGCATAGGGTTGCCACAATATCCACTTTCTAGGGGTCCATTGAGAGAACTCGGGCAATAGCCAAAGTCACAGAGTGAGTGCCCCCAAAAGAACTGGACCACAAAAAGATGATGACACCCTCCCTGCTAGAATTTTTGTGTCTGATGATTTGGAGCCATTGAATACAGTTTATCAAGAGTTTGGAAAATAAATCAAAATTCATGAGGGCCATGTACATAAGAGATGTTTAACAAGTGTTCAATTGCTGAAGACTTTGGAAAATTCTGTAATGAGTTCATAAAAGGAAAATGTTTCATTAAGTAAAAATTCTCAGCCAAGAATATAGGACTCCAAAGGTAGTAGTCCATCATTATTCACTTCTGTGGGGTGATCACCAGTTTGTCGAAAGTAACGTCAACGTTAACAAAGTTTGTACGTTTCTTATCATGGCAACCCTACTTGAAATCGCTATGCAGACTCAGCACACATTAATCTCTCTGCAACCTCAGTCACCCTTATTAAAAATAATAATTAAAAAAGGAAGCAGGCGACAAAATAAAAAAAAAAGGAGTTTAAAAGTTCACAAGTGTGGTAAACACAGCAGAATCACACTTCTCAAACGAACTGTAGTGCAGCTCACTCTGTCACAAGAGGCTGTCGTGGAAAGCTACAAAAACGCTATGAACATTCATGGCAGTGATTCCCAAAGAGGTGTGCAGCACACTTATTTTCTTTCTTTCTCTTTTTTTTCCCCCATAAAATTCATAAGGACACAACGGTCAACCAAACCTGTTTTGACTATCAGGCACCTGAGGGTCAGCCAGCTTGTTTATCTCTATGTAAGACAGACAGAAGGGATTTTGGGGAGATGATAAGGTTGACGGAAAAGGCAGGACAGGGAAGTACAACTAAATATTTCTAAAATTAACAGAAATTTAAAAGGTTCACATGACAAGAAAACTTTTTTTGCACATCTATGAACTCTCATTTCATCCTCCGAATGAGCAGAAAAACATTAACGTGTTATGTTTGAAATCTGCCCTATTCATTGATATTTTGTACAAATCAATTGTATAATCATGTGTTATCCTGCAAAAGTTCAAGAAAGTCAAACAAAACCAGGTACCTTTTAAAATTATACATTCACAGATAATACAAGACAGACTCCAATGGCCTTACTTAAAAGTTAATGCAGTTAAAAAAATAAATCACAAGAGGTATTTAAACAAAAACTCCATGCATCTCCACTCTCACTCTTGCAATTTATTACTGCCTGTTTGAAGCACTACCACAAATATCTGATTTATCTTCTTCTTTAAAATAATCTCCATCAAAGCCCCCTATAGTTATGTCTAAAAACATGACACTAGAATGCTATGTGGTTGTTGTCAAGGCCAACTTATAAGAAGTACAAGCACAAGGACCAATCTTCCAATTTCAGAGAACTCAAAACAGAGAACAGCACATGTAGGTTGTTCAGAAACACAGATTTTGCTTTGCCTTTTCAGAGTTTGACTGAAAGCACTCATTAATGAACATCCATGGAAAAGATGAATTTATCACAGAGGGTAGTGGACTGTGGCCCCAATGATAAAAATACACTCCATTTTACCAGACTTGTAGATCTTTCCCAGTGCCAGGCGAAACGACGTCATCAAGTGTTTCTGAGGACATTCAGAGATGTTCTTAACTGCTTGTCAGAAACCAGGCGCGTGGTCATGCACACACTCAGAACTCTGCTGCACGTCAGGTGCCTGGCTCACTTGGGGCGACAGGTGTGGCTTTATGAAACGCTGTCCCTGGAGGCTGCCACATCCACAACGTGTAGACACGGCTAAGAGAGCCTACTCTCATGCCAGTTTACATGTGGTGACGGACAGCAGGGGCTGCAGCCGGGCTATTTTTGATCCTGTCATGCGACAAGGGTTTCCAGTGGGTGAAATGTCTTTATAAGGCCAAAGCAAAACATCTATCAGCTGCAAAGGCCAGCCAGTACGGATCTCACTGACACTGAAACCTTAACCCCTTGTACTCCCAATGTTCCAAGAACAACACTGTAGGTGCTAGGTTTGTCTCTCTGAATAAAGGTGTTCACTGAAAATGTTTATCTCACAAAAAGGCAGGGGAAAGCGTTGTGAAGAATGCATTAAAAGACAGGCAAGGTCGCTCAGGAGGCTCTAGCTCTGCATTTCCGATGCATTAAGAAATAGTTTGGATTTCACAATATCAAACAATGAGAATATAAAGTTAGTTCACTGGATCATCAGACTTCTACGTGAAGTCTGGCAAAGGTTAAATAGACATCTGGAAAGCAAATGAACACCTAGAACGCTTTAAGGCTTAGGGAAAAGGAGAACCCAAAACCTAAAATATCCTAGTTCAGGAAGGAAAGCAGAATTGGACTAAAGGTTCAAGCGGCACTTTGGAATGAAATCCTGAATTAGGAATTCTTTTTAATGGTCTAAGAAACCCATGAAGGTGATCTGGGAATCTCTGCCCTATTGGATATCTACCAATGTCCTTTCCTTCAGTTAACCAAATGTGCCCGCCTAGCAGTTAGGAAAGTAAAAGCGCAAAGCAGATACTTCTAGTAATTTTCTTTTTTTTTTTTTTTTTGAGAACGAGTTTCACTCTTGTCGCCCAGGTTGGAGTGCAATGGTGCCATCTCAGCTCACTGCAACCTCTGCCTCAAGGGTTCAAGCAATTCTCCTGTCTCAGCCTTCTGAGTAGCTGGGATTACAGGCACCCATCACCACACCTGGCTAATTTTTATATTTTTTAGTAGAGATGGGGTTTCACTGTGTTGGCCAGGCTGGTCCTGAACTCCTGACCTCAGGTAATACACCTGCTTTGGCCTCCGAACGTGCTGGGATTACAGGTGTGAGCCACTGTGCCTGGCCACTTTTGGAAATTTTCAAAGAAAATTTTGATTGACATCTGTCTATGACTTTTGAAGCAACATTCTACCTGGTTTCCTCTTCCAATCTCTCTCACACCAACTGATGACAAAGTCTCCATCTCATTCATTTGCTCAAAGTAATCCTTGGCCCCTAACAAACCAAACTCACTGCTAATATCTTAAGCCTTGGCATTCTGGGCCGAAAACCCCAGACTGCTGCCTCTGGCTCCAAAATGCCTTTCTAGTATTTCCTTCCACCTTTTCTCAAACCCAGGTCAGCTGGGCTCCTTTATGTTTCCTGGACAAGCTTCACATTCCCAGATCCTTGCCCTTTATTCATGTCATCCATCCCTCACCCAGATGCTAATCCCCACAGTCTTTACCTGCTGAAATGCAAATCCCATCACCCTAGCCCTAGATAGCACTCGCTACGTGTAGAGCCTTCAGAAATCTGCTGTATCTTTTAGTCTCATATTTTCCTTTTTTTATGCTATCTTAACACAGCCTCATATTTTGCATATGTGAAATGGACTAATAATCTCAACCCTGGGTGGCTGAGCATTAAATAAAATTATCTGTGGGGAGAGTCCACAATGACTTAGGTAGTAGGCACTCGATAAGAGTTCCCTAGCCGTCACCATTCTTTAAAATGTAGGTCAGCTTCTACCTCCTTCATGAAGACTTCTGATTCCCAGTCGCTGCTCTGATGTCCCTCTCTCTTATCTGAGGCCACATGGTCAGCCCTTCTTGGTGCTTATCGGCTCTTACTGGGTTATGAGAGAATAGAGTTTTGTCTTTTGGGGCTACAGCTTGACAAAGGGGAGAGAACGCAGCTCCTGAGATCAGGTAGACCATGATTCTGAACCTCGAATCAGACTCTAACACTTACCAGTCCTGTGATTGGTAAAAGTTAATTAACCTCTCTGCGTCTTTGTTTTGTAAAGGATATTAACAGTGCCTTCAACAAATACTTACTGCAAGAATTAAATTATATAATTTATGTAAATCCCTTATCATTACAATCCATATGGCAGATGTTTGGTAAGTGTTACAGTGCCTCCTGCTTTCCTTACTGGACACTATAAATACTAAGCACAGCATTAGAACACCCAGCATAAAACTGAGCACTTACAGGGGTACCGAGTAAATTAAGTGTATGTTCAACCTGATCTAGGCTAGCCCAGAAATTTCTGCTCACAGACCTGTAGCCTCCCCTCTCCAAGTTTTCAATAAGGAAAAGCTTCTTTCAAACATAAACTACAAAATATTGTTCAGCAAATCCACAAGTTTTTCTATATCTGCCCACTGTGCTACATCAGAAATTCCTTTTAGGTCAGGGTTTTGTCTTCAGAGGCCCAAAGTCACCTGGGGGCCATTCAAGGACCACATTGAAAAGAACAGTTCAGTTACTAGCATTTCCAATAAGTCAAGTCAAATTTGAAATTCTGAAGCTTCTTTCCAGGCCTAACACAGGAACATGTAGCATTCCAACAGAATTTAGGATGACCAGGTGTGATTTGTTAGGTACAGACTCTGAAATTAGAGCAGTGTTAAGAACCTCTTAAAAAGGAAAGAGAAAGCTGGCTTGGTCCACCTGGAAGGCTATCCACTTCTAATAAGAATCTCAAGTTCAGACAATTTATGCACACAGCAATCATCACCATCCTTTATAAAAACAGTTAATATTAGAAGTAAAAAACAAAAGGTTGCTATCAAAACACACCTGCTTTCAGATTTCCCTATGACCATCTTACACTGGTGGTTCTAATTTTCCTGCATTACCTTCTTTCTTAAGGACTGATCTATAAAAACTTCCACAACCAGTCCAAATTCCCATGCCCAGCTCTCAAGATCCACCTTAGTCTGGTTTCTCCACACACTGAGTCTTCTCCTCTATGCCTCTGCTTAGGCTCACTCCATCCTATCCCCTCCAGCATATCCAGTCTTCCTTTTACCTGCCTAAGACACACCCAGTGGTACAAGTCTAGTGCAGGTGCACGCACCACAGCCTCATTCAACTCCTCCACCTCGTCTATTTTCTTGCTACTCTGAACTCCTTTTGTACTTGAAACAAGACCACGTCATATAGCAATTAGTAATTCTTGACTAGTTTTTGCATGACTTTTGCTTCCCAAACTGATGTGCAATTCCCTCATTTTGCATCACCCACTGGCACAGTGAAAAAATAAACACAGGCAACTACCTTTGATTCAGTTTTATAACCGTTTCAAGATTATTGGTGTGAGCTCACCACCAAGCTCACATCATACCTTCAGATATATGCTCTCCTCCCTCATCCCACCTTAAACAGATAATCTAAATGAATTTCCCACAGAAATAGCTGAACCCATCAACCCACCATGTGTTGTCAGTATCTGGGTTGGGTTGGATGGGGTTTTGATAAATAGCTATGGACATAGGAAGACCCTTTCTGATCATATTGAATAGAAGACTCTTCCACAGCTAAAAAAAAACAAGAGGTGGCAGTAACAGTGAGGTACTGAAATGTTTAAGAGAGAGTTCTAAGGAGGTGGTCGTGGCAAATACAATGACTCTTCCCGGTCCAGTTATTGTTGTTTTCCTTTCTAAATCTATTCTTAGAGACACATGGTAGACATCTATCTATGCAGACAGATTCCAGCCTTCCAGGTTACACAGGTAGACGTTTAGGTCCTAAGCTAGAGAAGAGATTATTATTGAGGGTGAAATACTCTTTCAACAACATGAACATTTAAAAAGAAAAGTAAGTATCCAGCATTAGAGTTACAGGAATGTTGATCAGGTAGAATACAGACAAAACAGGGTTTAGTGTCCAGGATAAACTGAGGCAGGGGGTGATCTCCCACCCATGTAACCTCTGAATGGAAGAGAAACGGGGACCTTGGAACAGGAAAACTGGTAATCACAAGACCCAGAGACAACACAATATGAGCAGGTGCTCACCTGAGTTAGGTCTGAAAGGTGAAAGTTAGTGCTATGCTACTCAAAACAACTGGCTCCTGTTGATAAAATCTGATGAGAGTTGTTGAACCTTTAAATTAGATGGCCTAAAAGTGGGTACACATTGCAAAAGAAAGAACCCCATTCCCAGAAAACAGAAACTTAGGACATGCAAGCAATGAATCTGTATTCTGACAAAGAGAAATCACACAATTTAGCACTCACTACAAAAATATGGTTAAATAGAAGTCACAGGCTACAGCTTTAAAGCAAGAAAAAAAAAAGTCCCTTTGCTTCCCATGGCAAAGTCAAAAGTCAACACCCCTCAACACCACCACCAAAACCAAAACGCAAAGAACCCCTTCCCCGAGGAAAAGAAAACAGTTTCACTACAGCTCTTTTCAATTAAGTAAAAAGCACACAGTTTAGCTATCAACACCACTTCATTACTGTAATAAATAAAATAAAGCACACGAAGGGCTATTGACTATTGTGAAAAATAAAAACAACAACACCAACATCCATGCATCGTTAATCACCATCTGAGCTTGTGTGTCTGAGTCTACTGGTTACAGAGTTTAATTCCAAACAGAACTATTCCACCTCTTATCATGGTATCCTTCTGATCAGTTAGCTTAACTGTATACGAGCCCTGTCAGGTTAGAAAGAGATAAATAAAATTGAGTCAAGTTGAACAGTAGTAATGGTGATGGGACACAATCGTCGTGTACACAAGTCATACCTGGTATTTTTGTTTTGTTTTGCTAATCATAAGCTCAAAATTTGTCTCGTTTGGAGGCTGCATACTTGGTCAGATAACTTGACTCATCTAAAAATATTTATAGTATCAGCATTAAAAATGCACAAATACATACAAAATGCTATAACCAGGAACATTCTGTGACATGATGATCTTATCTGTATATAACAAAGAGGCAGGTTAACAAATGATAGCCATACTGAAACTTAAGAAAGCCTGATTAATCAACTTACCCGAAAGGTCTTTGTATAAGGGCTGGATGAAGCTGTTGAACACCAAAGGCAAAACCTAACAATAAAACATACCACATTCTTTATTTGTGCATGATTAGGCATTTATTACTCCTACATGTAAAATGCAATCACAACTTTTACTCATAAAAGATAACCATTCTTTTGCTACTGTAAAGAAACTATATATGTCTGTATTTTTTTGAAGTCAGTTTTACAAATGCTATCACTGATTCTAAAGAAAGGTTTTAAAAGGCAAAAAGTGGAAACTTTAAAAAAAATCTGCAAAGTTTAATTGACAGATGCAGAATCAGACCTTGGGAAAATGTTCATGAAATAAAATTAAGAACTGTAGGACTTAACAATAAAGTTACATCTCAAACACAATTTTGAACCACAATCTATGAAAAGTCTAATTTGGAACATTCTGGGGTGCTTCAGACAATGCTCTGGAAGATTATGGGTTTTACAGTTTAAAAGTATTAAAAATTCACACAAAAAACAAACTCTCCTTCTTTTTCTGGATACGACATACCTACGTATTAGACAATTTTTTTAATGCCCATGAATATTTGTACAAGCACTTACTTTCTTGACAACCTAGTTTCCTTTTAAACCTGTTTGGATGGAAGTAAATTTCAGATGGAAAGGCTTAGGAGTGAAGAGGACATGATCTAATCAAACAAGTAAAGTTGCCTGTGCAAGGAAAAGATTACATTTGCTTAATAATCAACTGTCAACTGTTTTCGCTAATGCAAAGGGCAGTCTTGCAAATGATCCCAGAGACCATGTTTTCCTATAGACAAAAAGCTGCTCCCTTTCAGCAACTCCTAGCTGTGTGACTTAAACTACTCATCCCTAAGTGTCAGTTTCTTTGTCTGTAATATAGGGTTCTTGGGTAGGTGAAATCTCTATTTTCTTTGATTGCTAATACTCTGTGATTTATGTGAAAGCTTTCCCATTTGGAGCTGGGCACGGTGGCTCACACCTGTAATGCCAGCACTTTGGGAGGCCTTGGCCAGTGGATAACCTGAGGTCAGGAATTTGAGACCAGCCTGACCAACATGGTGAAACCCCATCTCTACTGAAAATTCAAAACTAGCTGGGTGCACTGGCTCATGCCTGTAATCCCAGTTACTTGGGAGGCTGAGGCAGGAGAATCACTTGAACCCAGGAGACGGAATTTGTAGTGAGCCGAGATCACACCATTGCACTCCAGCCTGGGCAACAAAAGCGAAACTCTGTCCAAAAAAAAAAAAAAAAAAAAAGCTTTACCATTTGGACATCACCCCTACCCGTTATGCTTCCCTTGGGTCCATGTTCAAGTCAGATTGCCTGCTCTGAGCACAGTGCAACTGGTGCTAAAAAGAGACACACCAGTAAGTGGGGAAGTATATAGGGAGTCGACAAATTTGGCCCCATATAATCCACATGTGAATTATCTACAGGTGGCTAAAAACTGGAAAACTAAGAGCAAACTAAAAATGTATGTCATATAGGAAACAGGTGAGTCATGACTAACTCTTCTTCCTGTACAAACTTGTTCAGACCCTCAAGATCTATTTTTGCACACAGGTCCATTTCCAGCCCTGAAAGGAGTATTTACAACTCTCATTTATGTTTAATGCCTGGGTAGAATAACAAGCCGAGGCGGTTCACGTTTACTAAACACATCTACGGATACTCAAGAAGCAACGTCTTCTAAATTAGAGAATCATCCCACCCCTAAGGGGGGGTTCTCAGAGAGGAGGGTAGGGGAGGCAGATGTTTCTCACCTGGTTGCATGATCCTTGGTTTTGCTCCTAAGTATGCCAGGTTCACGTTGGCCTTCCTGCCATCAATGATGGGATTGGGATCCTTACAGGCTCTTTCGGCAGCAGCCCGGTCAGCCATGGTGACCTTAGCAACATACACACACAGACATACATACATAACCTCTAAATTAACCCCTGAAGGAAATCAAGCCACACTGGAGAAGTCATTCATGATAAAACTGAGACCAAACTTTTTTTCTTTGCTTTTCTTCTTTTGGCTGGACCCTCCTCCTTGATCTCCCATTTTAAAAAGGCCGGGGGCGGGGGGCGGGGGCGGGGTGCGGGTAGAGGAAGGAAAAAAGAAAAAAATACTCTATCCCCGCCCCCCGCCCCGAAATCTTAAGGGTGCTAGTAAGGCCTAGCAGAGCTTTGGAAGCCTAAATTCTTAGAATGCTAGATCCTCCTTCCCCCGACTTCCCCGCCCTCCAGGTCCCTAACTCGGCCTCAGAGTCTCCGTTTTCTTTAAAGAAAGTCCAGCCTCACATCCGCCCAGCGCTCCCAAGCTCCCGAAAACACTCCCCAACGACAATAGCTATTGTCCTACTCTGGGGCTCCCTGCTCTTCGGCAGCTCAATTTGCAGTCTGAAATCTCTAGGAAGCTTAATATGCTCTGTTTCACTTCGGCAAAGAGCCCTAGGATCATCCTTTAAAAGTGCCTACCTTTGCCATTAAAAGGCGGGGGGATGACCCCAGGGGGAACAGCCCCACACCTCGCGGGGTGTCCCCTCCCTACCCCAGCCAGAACACCAGACGACACACGCATTTTTTTTTTTTTTTTTTTTTTTTTTTACAAAGCAACAGCACGTTTAGCAACCGGCCTCCAACCTGGGAAGGCAATTGTGCGTGGCAAGGACCCCTCCCTCGCAACCCTCCGCACCCCAAATCCAGCGGTCATTACCGTTCTCTCCTTCCACTCATGCCCTGCCCCGCCCGGCCCCCGACCTCGCACTTCTCCGAACCCCGCGAGGCGGGCGCCGGCCTCTCCCCCAGCAAACTTTCAGTTCACCCGGGAGCGAAGGGGAAGCGCCGCTCACCCCGCGGGGCTCCTGGCCGGTCTCGCCGAGCCCCGCGCTCCAGGCTCCAGATCCTCCCAGCCAGCGCCACTCCATCCCTCGCCCCCGCACCCCCGTCCCGGCAACTTACAAAGCCGTAGCCCCGGGACTTGCCCGTCTGCCGGTCGGTGATGACCACCGCCTCCTCGATCTCGCCGAAGACCTCGAAGTACTTGCGCAGGCTGGCGTCGGTGGTGTGGTAGGGCAGCCCCCCGACGAAGATCTTGGTGTACGTGGTGTCCTTCTGGGTCGTGTGCATCTTCGCGCCCGCCCCGCGGCTCGGGCTCCGGCTGCGGCTGCGGCTCGGGCAGCGGCTGCGCCTCCTCCTCCGGCTCCGCGTCTCCCGCACCCTTTCGCGGCCGCCGGGGGCCGAGGGCGAGCCCGGGGGCGAGGGCGGCGGCGCTGCGGGGTCGAGCGGCCGGGGGCGGCCGAGGGCGCGGGGCGCGCGGCTTCCGAAGTCGCCAGCGGCCCTGGAGACCTGACTTCGCTCTCTGCTCCCGCCCCCCCTGCCGGTCCCCACACGGATTCTCCGGATCGTCTGGATTAGAATCCGGCTCTGTACAACGTGCGGGCGCTTTCCACTCACCCGGCGGGGAGGCCAAAAATAAAAAGAGAGGGTGGTCCTCGAGCGAAGAAGGGGGTGCTTTAGAGGTAGCTTTTTCTTCCTTAGGAATCAGGTGCCTCGGGTGGGGCGTGGGAGGGTCGGCGGGAGAGCGTCCGAGCGCCGAGGCGGGCGCGGGGCGCAGCGGCGGCGGGGCCGGGGGCGAGGGACTCCGCGCGGCTCCGGCTAGGCACTGTCCCTCCCGCCGCGGAAGCTGGAAGACGAGTGGCGAGGACTGCTCTCCACCTCTCTGCTCCCTTCCCCCGCGGGCCGGGGGTCGACGCCCGGCTGGGGAGGGGGGCGGGCCGGACGCCTGCGATTGGCCGCGGCAGCACCTGGGGCGCCGGGCGCCGCCGCCCCCCAGCTGTTGGGAACAGCTGCTTCTCTCGCGGCGCGGCGCGGCGCTGGGGCTCGGGGCTCCGGCTCTGTAGCTGGGGCAGGGCTGGAGACGGCTGGTGGCGGCCTGGCTCTTGGCGTCGCCTGCTCTAACCAGTCAAAGTCTTAGGGACGCGGCGCGGCACCAGCAGGGACCCAACGTGCTGGGACTGTGCCCGAGGTGGGAGCTGCGTTGCTTTCCAAAGTAGGCGACGCGAGCTCTTCGGGCTAGGCCTCGGTGACAGGGCCGGCGACCTGGACTGGAGAACTGGGGTCTCCCGAGGCCTGGGGCGATTCACTGAGAGGCCAATCCCCTCCCAGGCGCGGGGAGCTCAGGAGTTCTGCCGAACGACACTCAAGCTGGGCACCCTGGGGTCTGAAGAGTGAGAAGGAGGGCCCCAACTTTCCCTTGGCCCCAAAAAGCCGGTGCTGAGGACAGCCAGAGAGGTAGAGGCAGAAGGAAAAGAATGATCTAGCGCTTGGGTGTAGTTGGGTAAACCATCAGCTGTAATTGCTCACCGTCCAGCCAAATCAAGTAACCAGAAACACCTATGTCCATCAGGCACCGCCTTCTATTTCGGAGGACCATAAATTAGTACTTCAGCCCCCACAGTCACCAAATTTGTCTTTCCTCCCTAACTTATTCAGGAAGATTGGTACAGATGTCTCAGCATAAGTCTTTTTTTTTTTCCCCCTAAACAAAGAATTAATCTATTTCCTTCTATTTGAATTACAAGAATGTTTAGTGGCCTGACTTCCATTGTTTTTAATCTGGATGTAATTGTAAAAGGTATAATTTTTGAAATCAACTTACTGCATAACCAATGGCTTCTACCAGCAGACCTGAAAGCATTTGTAGTACATAGGGCACCCCATACAGATTTATTACTTTACATCAGCTTTTTGCACCTTCTTTTAATTGAGAGTTCATTCAATTAGGCCTTAAAATCATTTAGACATACTTGAGGTTTGGATGAAATTATTTAATGTGAGCAGAAGGTTTCATCACATTGTTAGTGCACAATTTCCTTTTAGGTCCTTTCTACCGGAGTCCACCCTGCAGTCCTTACATTAATCGCCCCTGAGCTGCACCATTTATTCCATTGAAACAATTCGGTAAGTTAACCATTAGAAAGATGCATACTCTGTTTCTCTCCAGGGCACCTTTGCAGTCAACCCAAGATGAGAAACGTTGCACTTGCAAAGGCTAATGGGAAGCAAATATTCTTGTGCAAAACATTAAATTCTGTTTTTCATCTTGCTGACTTCCTTGTGAGGTTGACTTTTTGTGGTCATTGATTTCTTTAAGTCTGAACCCCCAGTAGGAGATATAGAGAAATCAGAAATCTATTAAAGTTAGAAACATTTTTTCACCCAATTAAAGCAATAATAAAGAATTTTACAGACAGATGAGAACCAGAAAGTGAAATTGTAAACACCCTCTCCTCATTGCTTCGGGTTCAAAAAGGACTCTGTGTGCTGGTATGATGAAAGATAATTTTTAAAAATTAGAAAAACAAAGCAGGCGGGGAAAGAGAGGAGGCGTGTTTTTTAATATTCAACATCCATCTTGTGGCGTCATTTAAGAATTACTGTACTTAGATGAGCAAACCCTTTTGTGAGGGGAAGCTACTTACAGCGAAGCCTTAGAAGGGTGCCTGTGGCTGTCTCGCCTCTCTTCCTACCTGGATTGGGAGCCCACCCTGGAGGGTACTGTCATAATATCAGGGAAGGAGGGTGTCTGGGAGTGTAGCCAGCAGCTAGGATGTTCACTAGGTAAAGTGATGAGATCTACAAGGAAATTCTGATCCCGGATTGGAATACTTGTGTTGTAGAACTCAGCTTCTGGAAAGAAGATGCTTCCTTGCCATTGTCCCTCCCATCCCTTGCAACCCTTGTCTGGAGTGTTTTTATTTTTTCAAGGGAACAGTAAATACTTGATCACTTTGCCTGAAACTTCGCCTGGATGGTCCCTAATTTTGAATTCCAGAGATAGTTAAAACATTACTAATACATTGGTATTATGTGAGTCACTGAGAACTAAGGTTAAGAGGGATGGAGATTCCTTATTTTCCAAACCTATTTAAACAGAAGCCAGAAATCATATCCAGTTCATCTCAAACTTTCATCAAGATCCTCTCCCCACTACTTCGCCCATGCAGGCACTGTGGTAGGCATCACTGATGTCCACTGTGGGTTTTGTTTTACATCTACACAAAGGTGGGCACAGTTAAAATGCCCAGATCCTCATTCTTGGCGGATTTATGAATCTGAGCCATCAAACTATGTAGCCTTGGGGCCATAAAGTCTTTCTGAATTCAAGTTTTAAGGTTAAGTACCAAATATTTCTGTACAATTACCCATCACAAATTCAGGTTTGAAAAACAATGCTTGGATAATCCTTTTGCTTTCTCAGCTGCTTTTTGGCAGAGAATACTTGTATATTCATGGGCCTTGTGCAATATGATGTGTGCTTCTTTGGAAAGAAAGAATCATAAAATACTGTAAAAGTTATAAATAGGTTCCACAAGCTTGTCATGTCCAAATTAGTACATATGGATGGTCCTGAAGTTTTGGTTCCTACTCCATGGCAAGATCAATATTATTTTATTACTTACCGTAAATTATTGTCCACTTTGTTCAAAATCTTTATCTGACTATAAAGGCCAGAACCAAACTCAGGAGTTTCACATTCATTTATAACTGTTTTCTCTTTTCCCCTTCCTTTTTAAATTAATCATGGAAATCAACTCCAGGCTTATAGCCTTTTAGAATAATAATGAAAAAAAGAGAGTAATATTTTATGAAGATTGAGGAATAAACTCTTCTGGTTTATTGAGTCTTCTACTCAGAGATAATATTGCTTTGGACAATAAGCCACCTGAAGCAGGGTGACACTCTTAGGTGTCACTGCATCTCCTGCTGGTCATTAAAATCCTTCACAGGGTTTTACACACAGTTGGCACTAAAGAAATATTTACTGAAAAAAATTATTTATTTATTTTGAGATGGAATCTCGCTGTGTCGCCCGTGCAGTGGAAGGATCCCAGCTCACTGCAACCTCCGCCTCCCAGGTTCAAGTGATTCTCCTGCCTCGGTCTCCTGAGTAGCTGGGATTACAGATGCACACCACCACCCTCGGCTAATTTTTGTATTTTTAGTAGAGATGGGGCTTCACCATGTTGGCGAGGCTGGTCTCGAACTCCTGACCTCATGATCCACCCACCTTGGCCTCCCAAAGTGCTGGGATTACAGGCGTGAGCCACTTTGCCTGGCTGATATTTTAAAGATACCTACCTTCAAGCTTGATGGGAAGAAATACATTCTTGGTTAGAACTGACTACCTGTAAAGTGGGCATTTTTTTTTTTTTTTTAAGACTGGGTACTTTTAAAAATAATTTTTAAACAAAAATATGGCTTCAGTGAAGTCTTTTGTTTTGGTTGTTTGGAAACATTTAATCTTCTTTTGCATATCCATGTGAGCATTTTGATGTAAAGCCAACAGGTTTTCTGGCGTTTTGAGAAGTCCCGTCATCAGCTGTATTTCTGTTTCTTTGGGCGGGTTGCTAATTCTCACTTAGTAACAGATAACAAATGTGTGTGATAGGTTATGCTGCTATTTTAGTGTGCGGAAGAATTGGCAGTCAAAAACCTAGTCAGTTCAGCTCAGACCCACCTCTGGGGGAGTATTCTATTCATGCTGCATTAAACCACAGCTAAGCTGGTAAATAAAGTGAAATGGAAATTTGTGCCTGTTATTCCGTCATTAAAGTCATAATGCCTCTTTTACACTGAAAATCCAAAAACCAGAAAGCAGAGTAGGATTATTTGAGGGACAGGCAAGGGCAAAAATCAAAGTGTCCAGGGACAAAGAAGTTCATTGCCAGCATCAATGTGCCAACAATTTCACCCTGTCGGTGTAGAAGTAGCTTTCAGTGTACGCACACTCTAATTTCTATTATGTAAACCCGAAAGGCAAGAAAGAGAAAGCAAACGTTTTAAACCCACTGTGTGCTCGTTCACATTTTAAAGTCCGAGTGTCCTTTGGTTTTAAGT